TCGAGCCATAACTCCACCCCATGTGCCACCAGCTAGGGAGGGACTGAGAGAGGTTGTCTCCAGGGCATGTTCAGTCTGTCTCACCCAGTCCCGCCCCGAAAGCCAACTTTCAATTAATTTCCTTTCAATGTGCAAGAATCCGTGCACCAGGTCAGTAGTTATTATAGATAATGCTATCATCTCACACAGGATCTCATTTCATCCTCCCCACAACTCCATGAGCCAATTAGACTCACTAGGAAATGAAGGCTCAGTGCAGATGCTGTCTGTCCAAGGTCACCAGCAGGAAGAGGCTGACCCCCATACTTGGCCCAGGACTGTGGGTAAAGGAGGAGGAGGGTTAGGAAGGCCACACCCCCACAAGGTGGTATTTCTATCAGTATTATTGTTATTGTTATTTTTATCCCGACATCATTAATGCGCAGTGAGTCAGAGCTGACTTAGGTTTCAGGGCTGTCCCTGAGAGCAGAGTGTTTTGCTGGTTTGTCTTCATTTGGACACAATCGAGCTGGCCCCGACTGCCCCCTTTTTGTTTTTCACCAAAGTCAGCACTCGCTAGCCAGTTGGGGTGTGAAAAATGTCCCTCACTAGGCCTGGTCTTTTGAAGGTTGGGGACCTACAAGCACTCCCCAATTGCCTCATCATTCGGAGCTCTCTAAAGTGGGGTGATACTGACACTTACTTGGAAGCAGAGAATAGCTTCTCAACAGATTTTGACATTTGGAAAACATCCAGAAACCCCATGTCCCCAGGGGAGAGGGAGTGCCAGGTTCTTGATGAGGTGGAAGAAGTGGAAAGGGGGTTTCAATAGAAGCCATCTCTCTGACCACCTGACTGCCTCTGTCAGCCAGAGGCTGGGGAGAGGAGCAGCAGGCTGAATAATAGGGAAGAGCGCCAAATAGAAATCTCATTTCCCTCAGTACCAAGACCCCCTTTGCACCCACTAAGGACTGGATTGATGCTAATTAGTATGTGAAAATAGATGTTCTGCCTTCAAAAAGGGCATGGTGCCACCCCTTGCCCCTTAGGAGAGCAAATCAGGTAGGCAAAGGAAGAGGTGCTTAATCAGAATGGAAAGCAAGAGGGCTTCATTCAGTGCTAAGACTGAATGTTTCTCTCTGTCATCTGGTCTTGGACTTCCCAGCTTCCAGGACTGTGAGAAAGAAATTTCTATTGTTTATGAGCCACCCAGGCTATTACTAGTGGTCTTAGTAATCACGTCTGCTCTGTTCCCAGCGTTGAGTCCCACTCCCCAGGCTTTATGTTAGGGTTAACACTGTCTAACTGAGGTGGACGGCATAAAAGAAAATGGCCAGTGTCCTGCAACTTAGATTTTAGCAGGACCCTAAGGGTCCTTCTGGTGGGGGCAAGGCCTCCTCTGCTTCTTCCCTATACCCCAAATCTCAATGCTACTTATACTTACCACGGGAGACACAATAGGGAGTGGTGGGGATTGCAGCAAACCAGAGAGTCCTGTCTAGAGGGGGCAGCTGCTATTTAGTCCAGGAGATTATCTATATATATAACAGGCTAATATGCAAAGTGTCCCCATGGGAGCTTGACCAGGAGATTGGGAGTTCTATCCCTCGCTATGATTGTGCTGACCACCAGGGGGCAGTATGGAATGAAGGCCCCGACCAGCAGGAAGGGGAGGCCCTGGGCAACAGCTGGCAGCTAGGGAAGGGAGGCCCTGGCCTGCAGCCAGAAGGCCCCAATTGGCCCTGATCACTGGCCAGGCCTAGGGGTCCTATCCATGCACGAATTCCATGCACTGGGACTCTAGTTTCATCATAAGAATAGAGGTCCATGTGGTCAGGTTGTACATATTTTAAAGAGAAGTTGTATGTATGATATTTATATAACATTTTGAAATATTGGCAATAGATTCAAAGTTTAAATAGAGCCCTAGCTGATTTGGCTCACTGGATAGCATGTTGGCCTGCAGACTGAAGGGTTCTGGGTTCAATTCTAGTCAAGGGCACATGCCCAGGTTGCGGGCTTGATTCCCAGTAGAGGGCATGCAGGAGGCAGCCGATCAATGATTCCCTCTCATCACTGATGTTTCTATCTTTCTTTCCCTCTCCCTTTCCCTTCATCTCTGAAATTGATAAAAAATATATATATTTTAAAAAAGTTCAAATAGAAATTGTCTCTTAGGATAGTGGTCCCCAAGCTTTTGGACCTCATGGACTACCGGTTGGTGATTGCTGTCTTAGGATAAGAGAGTGTAGCTCCAACAAATCATGTCTATAGCCCAAATCTGGTCTGAGGCTGCCTCTTTCTGTCCTTAGACTTAGAAAGACTTTCATTATGGCAGCACTTCTTTAGTTCAATTAAGAAAGAATATGTAACTTGGCCAGCATGATTTAGTAATTAAATGTTGACCTATGAACCAGGAGATCATGGTTGGATTCTGGGTCAGGGCACATGCCCAAGTTGCACACAGCCAATCAATGATCCTCATTATTTATTTACTAGAAGCCTGGTGCACGAATTTGTGCACTGGTGGGGTCCAGCAGGCCCGCCCCTGATGGGGACCATCGGGGACAGGCCAGCTGGGACAAGGGGCCAACTGGGGGTGGAGTCAGCCGGGGTAAGGGGCCTTGGACAGTTTTCTGGCTGGCCCTGCCAATTGGGATGGGTGTGCCCACTGGGGGTGGGGCCAGTTGGGGTGAGGGGCCATAGGCATTCCGGTTGTTCTGCTATTCGGGCTATTTGCGTATAACCCTTCTATTATATAGGATTTATTTAAAAAATATATTCTTATTGATTTCAGATAGGAAAAGAGAGGGTGAGAGAGATAGAAACATCAATGAGAGAGAATCATTGATCGGCTGCCTCCTGCATTTCCCATACTGGGGATAGAGCCTGTAATCCAGGCATATATCCTGACTGGGAATCAAACTGTGACCTCCTGGTCCATAGGTCAATGCTCAACCACTAAGCCACACCCACTGGGCCTCTCTCATTATTAATGTTTCTCTCTGTCTCTCTCTTCCTCTCTGAAATAAAAAATACATTTAAAAGAAAGAAAATATATAGACTATTTTAACTTTATCTGTTCATTTCTTCATTAATGGGTAATAGTCCCCTCATGCTCATAATGTGACCTTGATTTTTCCACTTATTTTTGCATTCACTGGTTGCTTCTTGCATGTGCCCTCCTTGGAAATCAAACCCACAACCTTAGCATATGTGGACAACACTCCAACCAAATAAGCTACCTGGCCAGGGAGGGCATGACCTTGATTTCTGAGGCAGCACAAGAAGCTACAATTGTGCCTGTTCTCCAAACATTCCTAGAAGTCACTGCAAGAGGTAGAGGAAGTGGCCAATCGGACCCTGGGTCTGACCTACCGCAGAATCCCGCATGTTCCTATCTTCCTGGTTAAGGAAGCAATCCCCATGGAGGCTCTGCAGTGTCCCACCCTCCCTGTGAAGGTATGCAGAGAGACTCTGAGTCCTTGCTTAGATGAGCTGGTGGAGAAAGTGCCATAGATCCTACACCAGAAGAAAGAGCTTGGCAACCTGGCCTATGCCACCAGGGGCTCGGGGAAGGTGCTGGGCAGGAAGATGACCCACTGAGTGCCCTGGACCATCTCCACCTAGACTTTGCGCATGCAGAGCTGTGGTGGCAGATCACATGCCTCCCTAGGGCTGCTAGGACCTGGCCCGTCAGCTGCCTAGGCAGGGGAAAAACAGATGCTGCTGTTCTCTAGCCAAATCGAGCCACTCTCGAAAACCATATCTGCCCAGCAGCCAAACTACCTCTGGGCAAATTGGCAAAGATGGAGCTGGTGAGGCTGTGGGGAAACAACCTACTTAGCCCATCAGATTGGCATGATCTTTGTGATAAGCAATTTCTCAATCTCTGCTTAATAACAAATAAATATGGTCTTTGACCCAATAATCCCAGGAATTTATTTTATTGAAAAGCCTGCCCATGTGTCAAATTAGGTATTTATACAATATCATTATTTACAGCAATGTCATAGCAAAATATTGGCAATGACCCAAGAGTGTTCATTTTGGAGAATGGGCTCAATGAATATGGCAGAGGCATGCAATGGAAAATTATGCAGCTGTGAAAAAGAATGAGGACTCTCTATCTACTAGTTACTGGTAGTACTAATTTCTAGATATGCTGATAAGTGAAAAAGCAGGGTGCAAAACATTATACAATAAAATGTATAATGTACTCTCATTTGTGTAAAAAATAATTATGTGTGTGTACTTGTCTATGCTAAAAGGACCACAAAAAATTATGACTATTATTTACTGTAGGAAGAGAAACTTTGTGGCTGGGAATAGGGAGAAACACTTTTCATCATGCATATTTTATAGCTTTTAAAAAATATATTTATTGATTTCATAGAGGAAGGGAGAGGGAGAGAGACAGAAACATCAATTATGAGAAAGAATCATTGATCAGCTGTCTCCTGTATGCCCCACACTGGGGACTGATCCTGCAACCTGGGCATGTGCCCTGACTGAGAATCAAACCATGACTTCCTGGTTCATAGGTCAATATTCAACTACTGAGCCATGCCAGCCTGACATATTTTATATATATATTTTAAGTCCTCACCTGAGGATATTTTTTCCATTGATTTCTTAGAATGAAAGGGAGGGAGGAGCAGGGAGGAGAGAGAGAAACATCGATGTGAGAAAGATACAGTGACTGGCTGCCTCTTGCATATGCCCCCAATTGGGTGCAGGGTGCGAACACACAATGGAAGTACATGCCCTTGACCAGGAATTGAACCCACTACCCTTTGGTCTGCAGGCTGATGCTCTAACCACTGTGAATACTGGCCAGGGCTCTATTTTATCTTTTAAATTTTGAACCATGTGCGTGCCTTAAATATAGAAAAGAGTTAACAAGTGAAAAATGGCAAGCTTACAAAGAAAATGAAACATACCAAAGCCAACATCCATATTCCAGGATGGGTGCTCCTGGCCATTCAGCCCCACACCCTCCCAGCGGCATGGCCCCTTACCTGCTCCTTCTCTGAATATGGGTTGTTGAGGACCACAGGCACATTGCTCTTCCCCCACAGGTCATTAAAGACACGGTCGTTCTCCATGCCAAGAGGCTGAGGTTTGTGTGACTTGGCATCCAGGTCTCTGCAAAGCAAGGGAGTGGCGTGAGGAAAGCACAATGTGAGGAGTGGCCAGCTAGCTGGTGGCCCTGGTCTGGAATTCCCAAGGCATCCCAGAGCCTCCATGGCTCACTCACAGGACTATGTGGAGCCAGAGAGCACTGGGTGCCCAGCCTGCTGCCTCATAGGATTGTCAAACACAAAGGTGAGCTCATCCAAGTTGGCACCCATGGCTGGCATCCACCCATCTTCATGGGCATCATTTCTGGATGGCCATGATATGTACTGTGCTCCTTCTTATCCTCTCCCTCATTTCAAAGATCTATGAATAGAGGAAGCTCACCTCCTAGCAGAACCCCAGGTAGAATCCCTGACACAGTGATGCTTATCAGCCTTAATTATGTAGGAAGTAGGAGGAGGAGGGATAGGGAAGGAAACCAGTCCTGTGGGCGAGGGTGGTGGGTCATATCAACAGTAGGCACTCACAACAAGACTAATGACACCAGCCCAGGGTAAACTGGAATGCTCCTGAAATAAGGGGAACAGAGAAGGTAAAATAATACTATTAAAATGATGGCTCATATTTGTTGTGCACTTTACATATGTTTTGGTTAATTAATCTTTGTGACAACCCTGTTAGATATGAATATTCACCATTTTACGGACGTTGGAGGTGAGAAAAAAAGCTAAATTGTTCAAGGTCACAGGATCCCAGTCTACTCTTTACATCCTTCTGAAGTGGAGGCTCCCATTATCATCATTTGTCATCATCACCACCACCATCACACTACCATCACCACCATCATCACATCCACCATTCTCAGGATTATCACCATCATCACTATCATAATCAACACCATTCAACTTCTCTTCATCAGCATAACTGTCAACATCACCATAATCATCACCACCACCATCACCAGTGTTAGGATTGTCCGTATCACCACTGCCATAATCACTCTCATCATTACCGTCACCACCATCCCCATCCTTCTCCTCCGTCACTATTATCACTGTCACCATCAGATGAGGAAACAGGCTCAGAGAGATTAAATCACTAGCCTAAGTAACTCAGTTAGTGATGGTGGAGTTAGGATTCAAACCCAGGCTTGTTCCTGACTTTAGAGCTTGACTTCAGAACCAGAAGCTCTCCTCACTCTCAGGCTTTGACCTTGAATAGGTTCAGGAGGAGGCTTTCTCAGTCAGGGTCCACAGACTGGCCATCCTCTGAAATGGAGGGAAAGCATGGCTGGGGTGGGACTGAGACTGCATTAAAATCCAAACCTGTTCTTCCTCCCTCTGAATGCTGCCCTCTGCTTCCTGACAACCTGCTTCTTTTCAACCCTGCCCCCAGTGTTATCCTGACTATGGCATATGTCTGCTCCCCAACCTTGCGCGTCTAAGCTGGCCCTTGTCTAGCCTTCTGTTTTATGTTTCCAGCTTTGGGGACTCTGGTCTTGGCTCCATAATTTCCCCTGATCAGCTATTTGGGATGAATTAGAAGACAGGGCCCAGGTGAGTGCATGGCCCTGGCAGCCAGCTGCTCCAGCTGCTCACTGGGATCCAGCCATACCCCCTCTGGGCTGCGTTTTGCAGAGTTCTGGTGGTCCTCATCAAAGCCACTTCCGCTCCCTTGCTTGGAAAGCTCTGCAATTGTCAGAGGGAACATAGTGTTTTACCCTCTTTTCTAGTAAAATGTCACTAAAACACACCGGGAGTAGTTTTTGATTACAGAACCCAAGTCAATAGTTTACCTATGTGGTGAAGAACAGAGGAAGCTCATCTGTTGAGAGGGCTCCTTTAAATGTCACTCAGCTTCCTCTCAGCTCTGAAACTTCTGACTCTGTGACCATAAACCCGGATTCAGCAGAGAATGGATGAGGCTAATACTGTTTGAGCATCCTTGCACAGAAATTATTTCATTTAATTGCAACAGATATTAAAAGCCCAACTTTACAGATGTGAAAACTGAGCCCTGAGAAGTTAGGTTAGTTCCCAAGGTTCCATAGTAAACACACAGCAGAGCTGGGATTTGAAACTAGGTCTGACAGGTGCTCAGTCCAGTCCTTCCTTTAAAAAAGCACAAAACCAACAACAAAAAACAGACAGGAAAAAAACCAAAACTAATCAGGATGCTCATGCTAAGCCAGGGGCTAAAGAGCAAGTAACCCAACATCGCTCACAGAAGGGAGGCCCATTTACAAAAATTACAGGGTCCAATTACATAGGCAACTCTGAAATGGCTCCTGGGCTTGTCTGTGAATCTACAGGGAGTGAGCCACTTTCACCATCATCCTTTTAACAACTCTGTTTAAATAATGCTTTTGAAGTGTTTTGTCAACATGCACTTATTTAGGAGTCCTATGTGATCAGTAGAAGAAAGAATATTTTGAATATGACACCAGGGGGAACAAGCAAGTTGAGATATTTGGCTCCCATTCCCCTAGGGGCAAAATTAGAAGTAGATTTAGGTAGATGCCAACCCCAGTCTATCAGTGATAAGCAGGTCTGAGGGAAATAATCTGGCTTATTGCTATAAACTCACTCGCCCTGGGACTTATCTGTCTGATGGGCTTGTAAGGGTAGTGCAGCCTGTGTAAGCACACTAGCTATGAATTGAGTTCAATTCTTAGCGTTGATGGTTCAAAGCTGTGCAACTTTGGGTATTTTGGATACTTGTCTTTTCTAATTCTCCATTTGTTCATCTCTAAAATAGGGTTAATCATAATAATGCCTTGTTGTAATGGTTAAATGAGGTCACACTCACAGCATTTATACCTACCATCACCACTCTGCAGTCAGGATTCTATGGCGAATGCTGTAGCTGAAAAGTAGGGTGAGGGCCTCTGGGTTTGGGAATAGTCATGACTGTAACACTTCATATCACAAACGCTGGACAGGATTCTCCAGTGTCTCCAGGGCCCTGGCTGGGTGGATTGGGCTGAGTTTGGATCCTGGGAAACTGGAGAGCACACAACAGCCCCTGCTCAGCTTCCGAGGCACCTCAGGGCCTCAGTTTCCCTTTGACTGGTAGGGAAACTGAGAAAATATTCTGATGACGTCTGAAACTTGATGACTAGTACTCAAGTGATCTGTGGCCAACACTGTAATCTACAAAGTCAGTAGAGGGTAAGAGCATGGGCTTGGAGTCAAGTCCTGGCTTTGTCGCTTACTAGCTGTGTGACTTGGGACAAGTACTAGGAAAACAGGGTGCTATGAGAAGCAAATGAAGTACTCAATGAAAAGACCTTAGTATGGGGCCAGGCCCACCTGAAGTGCTCTGTAGGGGCTGAATGTAATGATAATAAAACCCAGGCCATTTGTGACAACATAGATGGACCTTGAGGGCATTTTGAAATAAGTCAGAGGAAGAAAGACAAATACTGTATGATTTCATGTATACGCCGGAAGCCAATTCCAGCATGTCAGCAGGACTGAATCATCTCGAGATGTCTGAGGGCATTTCCCCAAACCTGAAAAGGATGCATAAATTGATTGCTTGCTGCCAGACAGTTATAAGGGCATCTTAATCTACATGTTATTTCCTCCTACTGGCCAAACACCTGAACAGCTGTAGGCCGTTCTTTCAATTTGACAATGGATTCTGTGTAGATGTGTATATCTACCATGCCTTAGAAAAAATTGTGTTAATAAAAAGCAAAAGGTTCTGAAACAAGGATAACTTGGTTTCTTTAGCCAAGCTCCTCTGACCCCCCATAATGCCTTCCAAAACTATGTTTTGCTCTGGACTCTTTGTTAACTTACACACAGTGCTTTTCCAGATTCCTGAACCTTCCTAGATGCTGGATAAAGAACACCAGCGTTTCATATACGTGAAATATAAAAACTAAACTAAAGCAAACTCATAGATACAGAGAACTGGTGGTTACCAGAGGTAAAGGGGTTTGGAGGAAGAGCAAAATGGGTAAAGGGGATCAATTCTATGGTGAAGGATGGTAACTAGATTTACAATAGTAAATACTATGTAGTGTATACAAATATTATAATGTTATACGCCTCAAATACATATAATCTTGTATACCAATTTTACCACAATAAAAAAACCTTCCAAAAAACAAAATAAAAACTCATGCTTCTCACAGAAGGCTCCCTTGCCCCCAAGTTAAGCTAATACTCTAGGGTCAAAATTGACTTCTGTTCCTCCAGCAACATTCTAATGCCTGGTTTCTCTTTTAATTCTGGACATTCATTGTGAGATTTCTAGGTAGAACCAGGACAGTGCTGTGTGTCCATGGGCAAGTTGCTTAACATCTCTGAGCTTCAGTTCTATAAAAGGGGGCTAAACCACATGTCCTACTTAGGGAGCCTAACTCATGAAAGGAGATAATCTGTAAGTAACCCCAAGTGGAAAAGAAGTTATCAGAGCCCAGGGCGAGGCTGACCAGCTGGTCCAGATGGAGGCTGGACTGGGGACCTTGGCCTCTTTAAAACCCTCCTCAGGGCAGCAAGCTGACAACCTGGATTTCCTCTGATAGAAAGGATTTTAAAGTGATCGCTCCCAAGTACAGGAGGACTTGGAAGCCCCGAGATTCTCTTCCTTGCAATGCCTCACACACTGCTACCACCTGCCAGGGCCACCCCGCCACCCTGGGGTGAAGAGATGAGTCTGTGTCTAGACTAAGCATCACTTATACCCCCAGGTAAGGGCCAGCACCCCCAAACAACAGGACCAGGGATGCCCATAAGGGAAAGGGACTAGATGGAGCAGAATAAGTCTGTCCAAAGGAAAGGGATGGAAGGAAGGGAATGAGACTGAGAGAGCAGAAGGTCAGGGGCACTGCTAAGAACCAGCCTCTGTTCATACTCCAGAAATCACACACCAGTAAATGTAACCTGATGTGGGCCTCATGGTCACCTGTTCATGCAGCATCTGGGATGCCAGTTCCGATCCCAGCCCCCAAAAGCAGTTTGGATGGAGAGGTTCCTGGGAGGATGCCTCATTCCCAGGCAGCCACATGCTCCAAGGGGCCTGAACTGTGCCCAGCCTGCCAGCCCTGAGAGTGGCTCCAAAGACACGGTCTCTGCGTTTCCCTTTCCTGACCTAGGACATGGATTCTTAGTGAGGCACTTATTTCAGCCACTAGGAGGCAGTTTGGCAATTTGTGGGGGCACCTGTGGTTGTCATAGTGGGAGGGAGGTGGCTTCTGGGGTCAAGGACATCCTGTAACACCAGGAACAATCCCACACAAGCACCAAGGGTCCTGAACGCCACACCAGCTTTGAACATTCACACAGATTTTTAAAAATGCTTAAATTTCTGAGCCATGATCCTAATTTGTTATTATGTATATATAAGGCTTTAAAACAGACTGAATTTGCCGACACTAGTTTGGCTCAGTGGTAGAGTGTTGGTCTGCGGACTGAAGGGTCCCAGGTTCGATTCCGGTCAGGGGCATGTACATGTACATTGGTTGCGGGCACATCCCCGGTAGGGGGTGTGCAAGAGGTAGCTGGTCGATGTTTCTCTCTCATCGACGTTTCTAGCTCTCTATCCCTTCTCTCCTCCTCTCTGTAAAAAATCAATAAAATATATATTTTTTAAAATAAAATAAAATAGACTGAATTTTCCACTGCTGCAACTAAATCAGAGGAATGGCATTGTTTTATTGGGAGCTGTTCACCATTTCTGAAATCACATCACCAAGGCGACGACGCTGTTGGTGGCATTCGAGATACCAAAACAACACACGTGTGTCAATCTGCACCTGACTTGGCTATGTTTGCAGCATTTCTATGTTTAGGTGCAAACAGCTGACCATTCCAGTGGAGTAGGGTCTGAGCATTGATATGTGAAATTACAGGTTCTTTTATCATCAATTATTTTTTTGCCCTGTCTTTTTTATTTTGTAGTTAGGGCATTAAATTGTTTTAAAAAATGTCAAGTGTGGATAGGTTATATGATGCATGAATTATCTGCTGGTTAGTAAAGGGACATTTAAAAAGATTTGTTAAGCCCAGCCGGTGTGGGTCAGTGGTTGAGTGTCAACCTATGTACCAGGTGATCATGGTTTGATTCCTGGTCAGGGCACCTACCAGGTTGCAGGCTCAATCCTCAAGGGGGCGTGCGGGAGGCAGCCAATAGATGTTTCTCTCTCATCATTGATGCTTTGATATCTCTCTCTCTCTCTCTCTCTCTCTGTCTCTCTCTCTCTTTCTCTCCCTTCCTCCATGAAATCAATAAAAAAATAAAATAAAATATTTGTTAAAAGGAGGTGGGGTTGCTTTGAGTCCAGCATGGGTATAAACCATTGAGCACGGGGAACACGTGCTATTATTAAATATCCCTCATCCTTACCATTTATGTTAGTGGTTTCATGAAGCCCTGGACTTGTCCTGCATTGCTTCCTCCCAAATCTTACCTCCTGCAAATAGTTTTTTCTGCTGCTTTCAATAAAACAATTGCACTACGTACAAGGTTGGCCCAACTGCTGCTTCCTCCCCAGAGGAGGAGTTGGAATAACCCCACTGGGTTGCCAGCTTTCCTCCCCACATAAGCAGAAAATGCCAGCCTGGGCAACACAGAGGGGCTGGCATCCACTTCTTCAAGTTCTAGCCTCAGCTCCCACCTAATCTGAGCAGTAGCCCTGTTTTGGGGAGTTGGGCCAATTCTCTACCTTGATTCTTCCCCCTCTGTCACAGCCCTCGACAGGCTGCCCAAGGAGAGAACTGGATTAGCCTAAGGTTTGCCAGTGCTCCGCTCTCTCCTCTCTTTCCAAGGCCTGGACACCCACCTCACCTACTGGGTGACCTTGGGAAAGCCCCACCTCTCTGACCCTCAATCTTCTCACCCATGATATGTGGACTGCAAACATACCCGTTGTCTGGGGTGGCTGGAGGGTTACATGGAATCAAGATTGAAAAACGTGACACCAGCTATCATGATTGACAGTTCTGGGATTCATGGCAAGGGATACCTCCTAGATGCAATGCCCATTCTGCTCTTGCAATTTTAAAGGAAAGAGGCAAGGGTGAGAGAGTGGCTGTGCCCAGCAGATGTCAGGGACAGCTCAAGTTGACTTCCGGGCAGTGAGGTTGAGCTACAGCACATGCACACATGCACACCTGCGGGGCTTACCTGTCCACCTGGACTTCTGCATCTTTTGTCTCCACCTTGGCAGGTCCCCTTCCGTTGATCCCTCTGTCAGCAGTGGTGAGAAGGTTCAGCACAGGCTTGATCTCCTTGAGCAGTTCATTGTGCTCCTCACTGCACTGAAGGGCAACCCCAGCATTTTTCTTGGTAGTGTCCAGGCCATTGGTGTGGGACAGCGAGCCAGCTCCTGGCCCATTGTCCTGGGCGTGCTGTGGCCCACTGCTGGGACCTGAGGCCCTGTCCACCGCCAGTGGCTGCTCTTTGCAGGATGATGACTGGTGTGACAGATCGACAGCTGTGGTGGGAGGACCCAGAGGCCGTGTCACCCGGATGGTCTTGGGGGTCCCATCCCCAGTAAAGGTCGTCTCCAGGTGCGTGGTGAAGCCCTCCGGGCCCCTCAAAATGAGGACCACGTGGGTCTCGGAGGCAATGCCCCTGAGCACCTCCAGGGCACTGGCGTAGCTCAGGTCCACCAACGGCTGGCCGTTGACAGCGAGAATGATGTCTCCGGCCTGGATGAGGCCGCTCTGCTCTGCAGCACCCCCTCGAATTAGGTCAGAGACGATCACAGGGGGCTTGCTCACCCGCTCCTTCACCAGGAACCCCAAGCCCCCCTCTTTGCGCTTGAAGAGGCGGACAGAAATCACGTTGGGTTGGATTTGTTCAACATTAAACATGTGATTCTCCATGGTGTCGTGTCCGAGGGTCTGAAGACCTCAGACTTCGTTGAGCCTGGTGGCTTCGCCAGGAGGAGCCCAGCTCAGGCTCTGTGGAGGAGGAGCCGGGACTGTGGTGAGTCTCTTGGGCTTGTCTGACTTTGACGTCAACCTGGTATCACCCACTCATTGCTGTTCGGCGGTTGGTGGCATGATTTCACGCGCCTGCCTCCCTCCTCGTTCTCTAAGGAAGTGATGGCTGATTAGGTAGACGTCAGGAGAAGCGGTGGGATGTGTCCCTAAGCAACAGGTCAGGCGAACTGTGAGGGGAAGGAACTGGTAGATGTGTCTAGAGGCGACACATGCTCTTGGGAACTATTCCCTGGGTATGGCCAGTCCGTGAGACACAGATGCGATCCAAAGCTTCCTGAGCTGAAGAGAAGGAACAAGGGACAGAATTTAAAAAGAGGTCGAGGTGGGAGTGCCCAACACTACCTTCTAAAGGAAGGTGGCAAATGAGAAGTCTAGCCATAAGACGCTCTGGAGGGCCAACCCAGAATCCATTTTCTTCAAGAAGGATACTTCCCAGATGGCTGCAAACTGCCTGGGTTCATCTCCATCATCAAAGCCCTGGGTAATCACACACAATCCTTTCAGCCTCAAGGAACCAGAAGGCAAAATCTCCCCCCCCCCCCCACTGCAAGCATCCACCCTCCAACTTGTCACACCTGTGGCCGTTGTCTCTCTGTCTCACATTTTCCGTCCTTGGGTCAGGAGCTCAGCCAGCACGGATCTGTGGGCTCTCCTCTCTGGCTGCCCCCAAAGCCCTCGCAGCAACCCCTGGAAGGGTCACTGCCTTTTGAGGAGTCACCAATTAAAGATGTCAACTGGCTTTTATGACCATTTTTATAATTATTGAGTTGTTCCAGATTCAAAAGGACAGACTTAGCCACTATTACAAACCAAATTGGTGTTAAGTACAGACACAGGTCCATATAAAGCTTTGGAGGACATAGGTACTTCACAGACCACCTGACACCTTAACAGAATAACATTGGGAAGAGTGGACTGTGTATGCCCAGGTAAACATAAGCAAAAAGCAGGCACTTAAGTGTTTGTTGAATGAAGAAAAAAAATCCCAAAAGACTAAACAGAGTGGACACTTACTAAGCACAGACACTCTTAACATATGATTTTTCTTCTTTGATGAGCACAGAAACCCTTCAATAGACAAGAAGACCAAAGCTTGGGAAGGGTCAGTGACTTGTCCAAGGTCAAGTAGAGAATGAGGGAAGATTTGAACTCAGATTGGTCTCACTCCTGAGCCTAAGCTTTTAAACTTATATCTAGGTTTAAAAAAATTTATATTCTTGTTATTTTTACAACTCCCACCAGCTCCTCCAGGCTAGGGAATCTGAGTAGTGTGCTTGGAGAACTGAAGGCCAATAGGCTGCTGTGGCTCAGGTGAGGTGTGTGCACCTGTGGCCTGTACAAAGCGGGTAGCGATGTAGGTGTGTCCTTTGTGACTAGGCTGGGGCAGGTGATCTGGAGTTGTGGGTGGATTGGGAACAGGTGTGGTGGGTGGAGAACCAGTACATCCCTGTCCTCATCCCCAATTCCATCTCCAGCCCTCTGCGGGCATTCACCATGCCTTAGCACAGTGAGGGCTACCATCTGCCACTGCTAACAACTCATTCCCTCCTTTCCCTTTTAGCAGCTTCCTGGGTCACCCCGGGGCTGGGCTGAGGCAGATGACAGGCTCCTGCTACCTCTGAGAGCAGGAAGTGGATGCATACACCCCAATGAGCAGGAGGTACCCCTTGCAGGGCTGGTTAGCAAGTTACTCCCCCCACCCCATTTTACAGCTTGCTTTCGTAACTCCACCAGTCCCTCTGTGTGGGTGAGGGAATAATGACTACCGGGCCCAGCCCAGGCTGTGTTCTCCATCTGGTGTTGCTGTGTGTGTGTGTTTCTCTGTGTATTCATGCACCGCCTCACACGGTGTCATTTCTCTGCTGTGTGAGTGTGCATGTGTGGCCTGCGGAGGGACTGGCTGAGTGTCTTCTAGCATCCTGCTCCTGGGGGCTGGGACCATCGTGCTCTCCTCGCTGGGGAGAGGATGGGTCCGCCTGCTTCCCATCTCCCTTAACTCTCCATGAGATCACTGCTTCTCCGTACCAAACCCAGGATGCTCACTCTGTAGCTGGAAGCAGGTCAGCAGGGACCTCCCGAATGCTCCTGAATGGGCACTCAGCTGAGGTCTTTAATTACAGAAGAGACTGAAGGGGAGCTCTTGGGGAGGCGAGGCCCTGTGCTTGCTTCCTCCACACACTGGCCTGGGCCAGACCTTCCAAAGGACGTAGGCTGGACTTGGCTCAAGAAAAAGCAACAAAGCAACCCACAATCCCCCCACCCCCAGCCTTGCTTCACTCTTTCTTAGCTGTTTTCAAATCAGACAGGGCTGTTGGCAGGTTCCGTTTCTCAGACTTTGGCTCTAGAAAGGCAACTTGAAATTTGGAAGGAATTGTAAAGGGGCTGGGCTTGAGAGGCAGGAAGAAGTCAGAGTCTGACAGACAGAATGAGTGGGCAACAGAGAACACAGCCCTGGGACCAAGTGAGTGGATTCTGAGTACTCACTGTGGCCAATCCTCACCCTAAAAACAGCCCCACAATATGAGGTGTCTCTCCTTTTCCTTCCCAAAGCACGCTTTCCCCTGTTGTCAATTTTTATTCTGTCAGGGTTGACTATGCCCATTTTATTGATGAATAAATTTAACAACTACAGGAAGAACCCCTTGTCCCAGCTCGCAAATTCCCAGTGTCCAGCAAGCTCCTCAGTCCTGGGCCACCCTCCTGCTACAGGGAAGATTTTAAAGGCCCTTTCTGGTCCTATCTGTGTGTTTCTGGGCTAGTTCTTTATTTTCTTGGAGCATCGGTTTCCTCATCTATAAAATGGGGTCATTCTGTAATGACCACCTCCCTGGGAAACGGGGAGTATTAAATGAACCAGTGAATGCAGGGTGCTCAGCAAGGTCACAGAGTGAAGGCTCAGGAAGAAACGGCATCCTGTCATCATTGCACTCAGCATCACGCCTAAGGCTTTCTGGCTCAACACTGAGCTCACTTTCTACTCCACTGCAGTCTCGCCAAAGGTGCATCATGTGCCACCCAGAAGGAGGCCTTTGTTTGAAAGCACACCGAGGACTCACGACAGTCACGGTGCGGCACAGGGACTACAACCCGGCCTCTGCCCTTTGGAACTGCGGCTTTAAACAAACCCGGTGTGCGTGCCCGCCGGTGCACGTGCCATGGAAACGATACTTGGACCGGGCCTCATTCAAGCAGCTCAGCAGTCTCGGCGTATTTGTTTCCGTTACCTGGCTGCGCAGAAACAGGCACTGGCTTTCAGGGATAACTGCCAGAGAGAAGCAGGGAGCCAAAATAGGCCAGCGTCTGCCACCACCACCGTCTCGCTGCTGTGCGACCTTGGGCAAACCGCTCCCCAACCCGGGCCACGCTTCTGTGATTGGAGGAATGTGACAGTCACAGCTCTGAGTGACTGAGAGTTTACTGTGTGCTAAGCATGGTGCTGAGTCCTATGAAGCAAGAGCTGACAAGGTGATTGCGGCTGAGAGAAGTGTGCGGGGAGGAAGTCCTGGGTGGATGTAAGGAAGCGGATCCTGAGGACTGCCAAGGTGAATCCCGATCCTAACAATAATCCCACAAAATCATGCCTCCCTCTTTTCCTCCCCAAAGCACATCCTCCTCTGCAGCAACCTGACCAAGGTCGCGTTCGACTGTCCCTATTTTACCGATGCAGAAATTCAGCTAAACAGGGAGACCTGCCTGCTCTGGCCTGCCTATGGCTTTCCGTTTCTGCATTGGGGTCAGAGGGTTTGGGAATCAGCAACAGCTGAGGGGTCAAGAGCTGTGCCACCAACACAGCAGCCCCTGGCCACAGGTGGCCATAGAATTCCTGAGCTGTGGCTGGTTCCACTGAGATACACTGTATGAGTAAAATGAACACTGGATTTTAAAGACTAGCAGGAAATAAAGAACATAAACTATCTCTAATTTTCCAGTATCTATTACTCATGTCGAACTGATAGCGTCTTGGATATGTTGGGTCAAGCACGATGATTGGCAAATGTATTCACCTGTTGCTTTTGACTCGAGAATGAGACCTCTGCATGAGATCACGCCTGTGGCTCACATTGCACTGCCACTGGCAGCGCCGGTCTAGAGTCTGGTTCTAGCATCTGGCTCCTGGTCCAGCGCTCTTCCTCATGTTCCCCAGTCCCTGACGTCCCCCTGGGATCTACTCAGCCAGGCAGTAGATACTTCCGCCTAAAGATAGCGGAAAAATGACACAGAAGGTTAGCAAACGTCTCACCACTGTTTGAGGCTGACCGCTGAGAATGAGGCTGATGGGGTTAAAATGGGGAAAGAGAAAACCCACTGAGAACCTTGTGGAGAGCCAGGTAACAGAAAGGTGTTACCTGGGCTAACAGTCCAGAATCCAGCCTCCTGCCACCCAAATGGCCTTTAAAATCTACCCTGAGAATACAATACATGTCTCATTGAAGAGAATAAAGCAGATCCCCATTTGCAGGTAGAAAATGAGCTCCAAGATATACCATTAGGTAAAAGAAAGAAAGAAAAGAAGAGAAACCAATGGGTTAATGCAGAGACTATTCTAGAAGGAAGGAGTATCATCGGTTGCATCTTACAAGGAGTATTGGAAGTCAGAAGTAGGAGGAAGCACTGAATATCTTTCTTCTTCCTATTTGAATATAATTTAAATTATTTTTATCACGAGTGTGACCTTTTAAATGAGCAATGTTGAAGAAAAGAACAGTCCGCCTGTGAACGCCTCGGTGTTTCCACTTTGCGCACCCACAAAATCTCTAATGGATGATAGCCCTGTATCCCATCTCTCTCCAATCTCATTTAAAAACAAATTCAAGTCCTCCACGTCTTAAAACGAAACAAAAACTGCTGCCTCCAACACAAACAAAAGACTGAAAATGTAA